TTCTCTACTCTGATAGTCAAAATTATATAAGAAAAGGAGGTTTATCCTGTCACTTGCCTATTGTTCTGTGCCCTACCTGGAAATACAAATGATCACTTTTCATCTAGGGCCTAATCCTCTTTGGGGCGGGAAGACAGGTTTGTGCTTTTCCTGTTCCTCTGTGTTAGTGCTGTTGATGAGGGCAGTGTGCCAGCCGGCTGCTGAACAGTCCTCCCTGAGCTGACTCTCCAGTCCTGGCTGGCTGGTGTTCACACACATGCCATCATTTTTAAGACAATCAGAGACATAAGTCCACCTGGTTACTGTCAGAACTGCCCTGAAGAAGTCAGTGTTGTCATTTGCCAATTGACATGGCTACAAAGTTCATAGAACGGCTGGTTACCACCTCTAGGCCTGTTGTTTTCAATTGGTTGGCCCTGCCCTTATAAGATTGATTTTGACTACTTCATTTATACTTTTATTCCCTGTCTTCTGTTCTCTTGTGACCCATTAGTACTAGAGAGACAAGAGATGAAGATCTATTCTTGGAGTCAGAGTGGGATATAATGGGTAGGATTTCTGGGGAACATGAATTCGGTTTTAATCTTGTTCAGATTTCAATTTCTAGAAACCTAGGTTGAAAGGGTAGAAACAAGCATACTGGGAATAGTAGATGCTACATTGAGATTGGAAGGTAGATCTGAGTGTGTTGACTCTTGAAGAAAACCTGAGTCCTCAGATAATAATCTAAGCCTCCTAAACCTTTTTAAAAATTATGTTAGTTTCAGTTGTACAACATAATGATTCAATATTTGTATACATTTTGAAATGATCTCCTAAACCTTTTTTAAAAGATAATAATTTAAGCCTTTTCTAAAGGGAGAAGGTAGTGAAATCCAGAAATAACAATGATTACGATTTATTTATTGAGTGCTTAATAAATGCCAGTTATTTAATGTATGTTACCTATGCAGCTCTTTTAATTCCAGCAGCCCTGTGAGGTGGGTTGAACAGTTAGCCTAAAGTCACAGTATTAGTAAGTGACAGAGCCAGATTTTGAGCCCAAGTCTAACTCTAAAGCCTGTGCTTCTAACCACCAAGCCATAATAAGGATAGAAGCTGAAAACTTGTTCTTAAAGAATGGATTTATGCATCTCTTCTCCCTCTGCAGCCTCTGGCTTCCTCTTCCTTGAAGTATTTTAGTTGGTTAACTGAAACCTCAAATTAAGGCACTCTCAAACTTTGGAGAACAGAAGAAAGCGCCTTGAGTTTATTAAAAAAATTCTAATTCCTTACCCAACTTCCCATTGTGATTCTGCATATCCGGGTGTGGCCCAATGATCTGCATGTTAAACATACCAAAGTGATGCCATCTACAGGATCAGAGGCACATAGTTTGTCACACATTGCCCTAAATACTGGCAAGGTTAAGATGAAATGTAACACAATCTCATACTTTTTAATTCAAGACTTCGAAAATGACATTTATTTTGTATGGAGATGTAAATAGTTAAGTTTTGCATAGAATACAATGTAGAAATTAGATCTGTGACACCTATTGAGTATAATCACTCTGAGAATGTCAGTGGAGCAAGCAGTGTAGCTTATTCTTGGCTATGTTTATGTTTCATTTTATTGGAAGTATGTTCCTCTTTTTTCAGAGAGGAATATACTTGAAAAAGTCCCTATCACTTTCTTTTCTTAAAAATGCCTTTTTATCACCAGGAAAAGCAGCCTGTTTAGTGATTCTTAGACTTTTCTCCTCTCTCCTGTGTATTAAAGGGATCCTTACTTCCATCTTTGACAGTGGCCATTCCTTCCATGTCTCAGCTGTGGTAGGAAGATGGGGTCTTATCAGAATCTGTGGTGAGGACATTAGGAAACATACAGTTTTTACAAACTAATTTTATGTCTTCAAATATTCTTATCTTTAAGACAAATACTTCTGAAGGATGCCTGACCCAATTTCTGAGCGGATGTGGCTTTCCTGAATATTTAACAGTAAAGAAATGGCTGCTAGGAAGAAATAATAATTGTAATATCTTTTTTTAAAAATATGTTTTTATTGATTTTTTTAGAGAGGAAGGGATGGGGGATGGGGCCCAAAAGCCTCTGCCTCTGCCCCCACTGCCACGGCTTCGTCCGGAAGATGTCCGGAATGACGTCCAGAAGGTCATTCGGCTGTCCGGTTAATTAGCATATTATGCTTTTATTATTATAGATAGTTACCATATAAAAAGGTAAAAAGAGTAATATAATGAACAGCCATACAGTCACCTCCCAACTCCATTGAGAAATAAGTATTATTATATAGTTGAAGCTTCCTGTGGACCCCTTCCCTTGTCCCACATATAAACACTTTTCCTAAATTTTTTTTCATGCCAGTGCATTCCTATGTATCCCTTATTATTATACAGCATTGTTTTGCATGTTTATAAATTTCTAAAAATTTTTTTACTGTCATTTGAAATATTGTTAAAGAGCCTTTGTACATAATACCATTTTGGGCATTGTAGAAAAAAAATTCAAGATAAAACTCTTACATGTCATGATCTTATGGTTTAAGGAAAACCAAAAACACTAGAAACACAGCTTAGTAAAAGGAAAGGGTATGTGTGAAAAATAAAAAGTTGGTAAACCATATATATATATATATATATATATATATATATATATAATATTTTTATTGATTTCAGAGGGAGAGAGAGATAGAAACATCAGTGATGAGAGAGAATCATTGATTGACTATCTTCTGTACACCCAACACTGGGGATTGAGCCTGCAACCCAGGCACGTGCCCTGCCCAGGAATCCAATCATGACCTGCTGGTTCATAGGTCGATGCTCAACCAGAGCTATGCCAGCTGGGCAGTAAACAATATATATTAATCTAAAGTCAACTATTAGCATCTAATATATGTAAGGGCTAAGTATAGTTACAGTGGAGGGTCAAATACAATTAATTATTGTGTGGAAAATAGTAATTATGAGAGGCAGTAACAGTGAGAAAGAATGATAGGGATGAGACTCATCTCGATAGTTTACCATACAGGAGAGAAGGTTATGCTATGAGGAACTGGCCTTAAATTGATCAGCCAAAGGAGGTGAGAGAAGGGAGCTGGGACTAGTTAGCCAGCAGTGCAGTTAGCTGAAAGGTACAGAACATAGCCCCAGAATTCTGCCAGGTAACCATTTAGATTAGGAGGGATGGCTAAGACTAAGCCCCTGGCTTCAAAGAGCTTAACATCTAATTGCTCAGGGGTGGTTACACATGGGAGAATTGGAGAACATCCTAAGACCCTAATTGTTTTATTTTTTTATTGATTTCAGAGAGGAAGGGAGAGGAAGAGAGAGTTAGAAACATCAGTGATGAGAGGGAATCATTGATTGGCTGCCTCCTGCACGTTGGACTGAGCCCGCAACCCAGGCATGTGCCCTTGATCAGAATCGAACCTGGGACCTTTCCGTCCGCAGGCCGACGCTCCATCCACTGAGCCACACCGGCTAGGGCGGCCCTAATTGTTTAATGTGCGTTGCAGCAGTTAGGGAAAGAAAGCCTCAGTGAGCAGTCTTGAGTTGGGTCTCGAATGGCAGATGTTGATGAGGGTCCTCCAGGAAAGGGAGTGGATGAGAACACATGAGCAAAGACTAGACAGTGAATGTAGACTAGTGGGAAGATTGGCCTGTGTGAATTGTTTATATCCAGGCCACTTGACCTATAGTTTCCCATGGTCTGGATCTTACTGATTGCACACTTAGAGTGCAGTTCAGCAGTTTTCCTCTGTCCTGTATTTTCTGCAAATTAACAACTGGACCCAGTGAGTAGTATGATGAGATTCAGGTTCAATCCCTTTGGCAAGACTATAGGTGGAGGTCATGTATTTTGTAACATCAAAGGTATGTGTAAGAGGCTGGGGTTCATTTTACTCTACTTAACAAGGTAATAATTACAGTTTCATATTTTAACTTCATAGAGCTCCCTCTTCTGTTGTTTCAAGTAGTGTTAAAAAATATGTGCTTATCCTCCCCCCATAGCCCACACCCTTTAATTTGGACTGTTTTTTTTTTTTTCATTCGTTATCCCATCTTACTCAATTTGGATTCCTCTCTCAGCAGTTTCTTCTCAGTGCAGAGTCCCTGTCCTGGGACGAAGCCTTGGTTGGTTATATGAGTTTATAGGGCTGGACTACTTCAACTACTTTGGGCCACACAGTGGACAGAACCCTTCCAGTTTCAATTGCTATTGTCAAGTTGGTCACATTGTCTTACATTTAAGATTTGGTTGGCTTGGGGTTCTTCTGTTCTCTGGTCTGTCAGATGTCTTATTGCTTCCCTCTATGTAGGTCTGCACAGCTGCTTATAGCACTCATGTCTTGTGGCTGTTGATGTTTTTGCCCTCTTGCTTGTATGGGGGCGGGTGTTATAGGGTGTTTTATCTTCTGGTGTTATTTTTTTAAAATTCTCACCCAAGGACATGTTTGGGGGGGCGGGGGTAGGAGAGAGAGAAAGAGAGAGAGAGAGAGAAACATTGATTGGTTGCCTTCGTAAGTACCCTGGCCGGGATCGAACCCACAACTTTTCAGTGCATGGGATGATGCTCAACCAACTGAGCCACTGCAGTTGGGCTGTCCATGGGCTTTTTGTGTTGCTATCTAGTTGCTGGGGTTTGTGTGTGTGTGTGTGTGTGTGTGTGTGTTTGGTTACTCTTCCTGTCCCCTGCCACCCATGCTCTGTCTCTTTTTATGTGGGGATTCAGAAATATCAGAAATAACAAAAGCCTATGTTGCTAGTGTTACAACCATATTGCCAGAATCGCAATTGTAGGCTCTTGAGTAGAAAGATGACACAATCATGAGTAGAATGATAGGCCACACCCAACATCTTCCATGGCATAGAGACAGTGTGGTCATTAGATGTTTATTCTTTAACGTTCTCTTCTCTAAATTCAGAAGTGTTATTGGCTGTAATGCTGTTTAGCATGTTCCTGTGGAAATAATGGGTTCTTATCATTACTCTTTTCAGGTTCACTAAGAATCTTTCCCCAGACAAAATCAATTTGAGCACCCTGAAAGGGGAGGGTCAGCTGACCAATCTGGAGCTGGATGAAGAGGTTCTACAGAATGTGCTGGAGCTGCCTACCTGGTTAGCCATCACTCGGGTCTACTGCAACAAGGCCTCCATCCGGGTGAGAATGGGGGTCAGAGTACTGTTGCTTTCTTGGGCCAGCAGGCCTGCCTTCCACAGTCCTGAGTCTTTGCTTTTCTTTTTCAGATCCAGTGGACAAAGTTGAAGACGCACCCAATTTGCTTGGTAATGGTTTGTCTTGATTGCAAATAATCCAGGGGGATGGCTGGGGTAGAGTTTAAGAGATCTGAGAGAAGATAGGGAGGAGTCCTGATAGGCTTTGGGAGCCGTGGGTGCTTTGTCTGGCCTGTGAGCTTCTCTCTGAGACAGAGCTACTATTGTTTGGACAAATTCTGGGACTGATGGGTAGTATAGGAATTAGTGCTGAAACACAAGACCCAGGAGTCCTGAGTTGGTTTTGTTTTTGTAGTTTTTCATAACAGGTTTTGCTGTGCAGGTACTACCTATAGATTTCCCTATTTTCCCTTAGAATCCTAACAGGAAAAATTGGAAGTTTAGTTAATGCTGACTATTGGGTGATTATCAAATGACAGCTCTTTATGAACTGAGTGGTACATATCTTTATCCCAAAGACAAATCCTGAGGGCTGGTAATATCTCTGTAACTTGGATTTATGTTTTTGTTTTCTGCTGTGAGCTAATCCCATGCTTGTTATGGAGTTCTTCTGCTAATGGAAGTGAAAGGGAAGAGATGAGACCTCTCTTTGTATTTCAGTTTGTTTGTTCATTCATTCAACAGATATTGTCTGTCACTGTGAAGGTAGCTTTCGGCTAGGCAATGGAGCACAGGGATGAGTAAGACCAATCTGTGCTATGTGGGTTTCTGTGCAGATGCTTATTAGCTCTTTGTGGCTTTTATTTCAGTGTCTGGATAAGGTGGAGGTGGAGATGAAGACATGTGAGGAGCCGCGGCCTCCCAATGGACAGTCTCCCATTGCCCTTGCTTCAGGACAGAGGTTGGTTGGAAATATTACTGGTCCAGTTCACCTTTTAATTAAAGAATAAAAATTTTAAATTATGGAAATTTCAACATACACTAAAGTAGAGAGGATAGTATAATGAAGCCCTACGTACCCAAGATCTCACCACAACAATTATTAACATTTGGCCATTTTTTTCACCTTTCTTTTGCCATTTTTTGTGGTGTGTGTGTGTTTATGCTATAGTACTTGAAAGCAAATCCCAGACACCATCTAATTCCACCCGTAAACACTTCTGTATCATGTATCTTTTTTTTTTTTTTAAATATATTTTATTGATTTTTTACAGAGAGGAAGGGAGAGAGATAGAGAGTTAGAAACATCGATGAGAGAGAAACATCGATCAGCTGCCTCCTGCACATCTCCTACTGGGGATGTGCCCACAACCCAGGTACATGCCCTTGACCGGAATCGAACCTGGGACCTTTCAGTCCGCAGGCCGACGCTCTATCCACTGAGCCAAACCGGTTTCGGCTGTATCATGTATCTTTAACAGACAAAGACTGGGGAGAAAAAACAAAAAAGAACCCACAGTACTGTTATCACAGTTAATAGAATTAACAAGAATTCCTTAATATTATTTATATGTATTTCATATTTAATTTTCCTGAATTGTCTCTAAAATATTTTTTACAATACACTGAACAAAGAGCTCTGTATATTATATTTGGGTGATAGGAATTTTAAAACTTTTTAATTCTCATCACCCTGCCCCCCCCCTCCCCCTCATCAACACACATTTTTTTTAATGGATAATGTGCTTTTATTTAATTTACTTAATACTATATTTTTATTGATTTCAGAGTGGAAGGGAGAGGGAGCGAGAGATAGAAACATCAATGATAAGAGAGAATCATTGATTGCTTGCCTCCTGCACCCCCCACACGGGGGTGGGGCAGTGGGAGGGTGGAACCCGCAACCTGGGCATGTACCCTGACCGGGAATTAAACTGGCAGTCTTTTGATGCATGGGATAACATTCAACCAACTGAGTCACACTTTTAATATACCATTATTCTTTATAGAAACTGGATTATTTTTATTATCGGCTGCCTCTAGCACGCCCCCCTTTAAAAAGTTAAATTTTTAGGGGATCGAGCCTGCAACCCAGGTATATGCCCCGAACAGGAATTGAACTGTGTCCTCCTGGTTCATAGGTGGATGCTCAACCACTGAACCACACTGGGTAGGCTGGATTATTTTTTATAAGAAATTTTCCACATTTTATATTTTTGTCTGATTGTATACTCAAAGTGTCATTTAAAATGTTTCTCGTTTAGTCTGGTAGTTAGATTTAAAGGCTTGATTTGATTCAATTTTTTTGGTAAGAATATTTCAGAAATAGTATTGTGTGTTTCCTATTGTAACACATCTGGAGGCGCATAATATCATGTTTCTTTGGTTAAGATTAATTAGTGGATTTAAATGGTGTTGGCCTAATTTGTCCATTATGGTAAGTTCTTTATCTACCTTTCACCTCCTGGTTTAAGGAGAATGGTAGTTGTCTAGATCCTTTATTTTATTGTGAAATGCAAAGTAGGGACTTTATAATTGTTTTCTTTCCATTGCATTTATTAGCTGTGATTTTCTATAAAGAATTTTCTTTCGCCAACTATTTGATTATCCTGAAATACAGTTTGTACAAGAATGTCAGGATAAATGCTGTATTCTTTGCTTTTATCAAATGTAAAAATTATGTATATCTAAAACTAACACAATGGTATATGTAAATTATATATCAATGGAAAAAGAATTATGAGTTGATACCCTAATAATCTCTGAAGAGATTTTTTTGAGGATGGGAAGAGGAAGGCAGAGGTTTATCATTTTAAATCATTTTTATAGCTTTATTATGTTATAATGGACATAAAATAGACTGCACATATATAAAGTATACAATTTGATAAGTTTTGGCATATGCAAAACTTATATGAATCCATCACACTCACACATATTGTTCTTCTTTATACTCCCTCCCTTCTCTTACCCAGCCCTCCTTCTATCCGCAAACATTGTAGATTAGTTTGCTTTTTCTATAATTGTATATAAATGAAATTATATAGTATGTCTTCAGTATAATTATTTTGAGATTCACACATGTTGTTGAGTGTATCAATAGTTCATTCCTGTTATTGCTGAGTAATATTTCATTGTGTGGTTGTACCACGACTTGTTATCTGTTCACTTATTGATGGACATTTTATTTCCAGTTTTTGGCTATTGTGAATAAGGCTGCTGTGAATGTACATGTACATATACAAGTTTTTCTGTGGTTGTGTGCTTTTATTTCTCTTGGGTAAAAATCTAGGACTGTAATGGTTGGGTGGTGTAATAGGTACGAATTTAATTTTTTAAAGAAATTGTCAAACTTTTCCAGAGTGGTTTACTATTTTACATTCTTTTTACATTTTACATGCTTTCACATTTTACATTTTTATATCTTACATTTACATTTACTTTTTAAAATATATTTGTTGTATATCATACTTTTATAGTCATCATTCTTTTTTGGTATTCAGATGTAACCATCATTGACCAGTGAGAACCGTTCAAAAGTACTGCCTGTGTCCTTTGGGATAAGATTCCAATAATCTTCCTGCTTTTAGACAGAGCAAGATGTTTCAGGCTTCTCTATACATCCTCACCTCAGACCTAGAATCAGACATTTCTCCAAGGAACCCTGATTCCTTTACTAAGATATGTTATTTAGAGACTACAGTCTGGGCAAAATGGTATTCATAGAGTTGTCATTGCTTTAAAGCCTTTTTAGTGTTCAGTTCTAGGGAAAAGGTATTTTTAAGAGAGAGAAAAATAGCCCTGACCCATGTGGCTCAGTTAGTTGGGCATCGTCCTGTGTGCCACGCCTCCGACCTTTCTCTTCCCCCTGCTATCCTGACACTATCATATAAATCCGCCTGGTTGTGTTTTTTCTTTTTTTCTAGGAAAAAAAATAAAGCAAAAACAAAACAAATGAACAGAAACCACAATTAAGAATGTAAAAAAACAAACAAATAAACCCAAAAGGTTGCTGGGTTTGATTCTCAGTCTAGGGCACATGCCTGGGTTACAGGCTTGATCTCTGGTAGGGGGCGTGCAGGGGCCAGCGGATCGTCAATGTTTCTCTCTCTGTGTCCCTCTTCCTTCTTCTCTCTCTAAAAATCAATAAAATATTTTAAAAATTAAAAAAGAAAAATAAATCATGACAATATCCTCATATTTCTCAATTCTAATAAAAAAGGATTTTGAGTTAATTTTTATTTTATTTTGTTTCTTTTTCTTTTAAAAAAATATATTTTTATTGATTTCAGCAAGGAAAGGAGAGGGAGAGAGAGATAGAAACATCAATGATAAGAGAGAATCATTGGTTGGCTGCCTCCTGCATGGCCCCTACTGGGGATTGAGCCCACAACCCAGGCATGTGCCCTTGACCAGAATTGAACCTGGGACCCTTCAGTTCACAGGCACATGCTCAATCCACTGAGCCAAATTGGCTAGGGCTGTTTATTTTTCAATTACAGTAGACATTCAATATTATATTAGTTTTAGGTATAAAGCATAGTCGTTAGACATTTATATAACTTACAAAGTGACCCTCCCTGATAAGTCTAGTACCCATCTGGCAACATACATAGTTATTTCAATACTATTGACTATATTTGAGTTAACTTTTTTTTTTTTTTAAATATATTTTATTGATTTTTTACAGAGAGGAAGGGAGAGAGATAGAGAGTTAGGAACATCGATGAGAGAGAAACACCGATCAGCTGCCTCCTGCACATCTCCCACTGGGGATGTGCCCGCAACCCAGGTACATGCCTCTGACCGGAATCGAACCCGGGACCCTTCAGTCCGCAGGCCGACGCTCCATCCACTGAGCCAAACCGGTCTCGGCTGAGTTAACTTTTTTAGATTTAATATTTATATTTTTTACTCATATGCTGAATCTTGATTCCTAACAACAATATAGTAATAAATTATTTACTTTTTGATAGTTAAAAAAAAATAAACCAATATTATAATTATCAATAAGATTACTGATTGCAGTAGATTTCTATGTGTATATATGTGTTTTAACCTCATGATATGTCCCATTAGGGATGTATGGTCAAAAGAGGGTGTTTAAAAGTCACTTGAAATTATTCTTCACATGGATTTGTACTAATTTGACATACAGAGGGGTTGTTTCAGGTGTGTTTTTTTTGTGTTGTTTTTTTAAAAAAACATTTTTATTGATTTTAGAGAGGAAGGGAGAGTGAGAGAGATAGAAACATCAATGATGAGAATCATTGATCAGCTACCTCCTACACGCCCCCTCCTGGAGATTGAGCCCGCAATCCTGGCATATGCCTTTAACCAGAATCAAACCTGGGACCTTTCAGTCCACAGGCCAACAACGCTCTATCCACTGAGCCAAGCCAGCTTGTTTCAGTTTTTTAAAAAAGCAGTTTAAACAGCAGTTTTAGGTTCACAGTTACATTAAGAGGAAGGTTAGGAGATTTCCCACATACCCCAGCTCCCACCATGTGCATAGCTTCCCCTAATGCCAACATCCTCCACCAGAGTGATACATTTGTTCCAAGTGTTGAACTTACATTAACACATCATAATCACCCAAAGCCCACAGTTTACATTAAAGTTCACTTCTGTGGGTACATTTATGTTTTTGAACAAATGTATATTGACTTTTATTAATCATTATAGTATCATACAGTGTATTTTTACTGCCCTAAAAATCCTCTGTACTCCACCTATTTATCCTTTACTTCAACCTCAACCCCTGGCAATCACTGGTCTTTTCACTGTCTCTAGTTTTTCCTTTTTTTTTTCTCTTTTAAAATCTATTTTTATTGATTTCAGAGAGAAAGAGAGAAGGAGAGATAGAAACCTCAATGATGAGAGAGAATCATTGATTGGCTGCCTTCTGCACGCCCCACACTGGGGATCAAGCCCACAACTTGGGCATGTGCTCTGACCAGG